TTCCCCCGCGGGCGGGAGGCAGGCGAGGAGCGGAGGGGGCCCGCGGCCCACGTGAACGCGCCCCTGGGCGGCTCCGGTGAGGGGGCCGAGCGGCCAGCCGTGCCTTTAATCTCTCTTTCTTGGCATCGGTTTCTTTGTTTCGCTTAAATGCCTCTGTCGGGTTATTGAAAGACCGGTAAGGTTTTAAGCACAGCAGTTGTCCCTGCAGTTGTGCCACCCCTGGTGTCTGCAACCCCGCTTTTCATGCGCCGGGGCTTTATGACCGGAGCTCTCACAAGCAGCAGTTCCGTCCCACGCCGAGTGTCTGGGTGCAGTGGCGGGGTGAGGAGGCCTGCGCGGGCCTGGCCCTGAGCGTGGGCTGGCGGGGCTTGGAGAGATGGCATAACCCCTTCCCCTGCACCAGAAACACCGGTGCCGAGGTGTTGAAAATGCAGGTAATGGTGAATCCTCCCTGCCTGCATCCAGCTTCCAGGTCTGTGCCATTACCTTTGCGCTGCTGCCTCGCCCCTCGGCCTTGTCAGGGCTCCTCCTAAATGATTTTCTCTGATTTCGTTCTGTAAGTGCAAAGTCTAAAGTGCAAAAATCATCCTTCACCAGGCAGATACGGTCTGTACATATTATTCTCACTTGCCTGAAATACGTGTCCTGGGATTTTTGTTTTGTTTGGTCTGTAGCAATGGCTTCAGGAACAGCGCTGATCTACGATGAGGAGATGACCACTCATAAACTACTTTGGAGTGAGTAAGTCGCTGCCGTCCTTTTTATGAGTAGATTCTTACTAGGACTGCGGAGAGAAGTGCCAAGTAAATGCAGATTTTGTAAATGTAATCTGAAATATCTGGCGACAGAAATGCTGTCATTTTCCTGGTAAATAGCCTTTGCTTTTGGAGAAACGTTTTTATTTATTCCCACTTTGTATCCCGATGCTGTAATGATAATCTGAAGCTGGGTTTGAGAAGCTGTAACCCTCTGGTCTGGTAGGCCTTAACAAGAAGTGTCGGCATTAGGCATTTGAGTAGGCCCTTAAATAAAGTATTTTAAGCTAATTAAATTGTTTATAAAGCTAAAGTATCACCAATCTTGGAAAAAAATATGTAGATATACTTACTCAGCTGAAACCCATCGATTAAATTCAATTAGAAATTGGTATATGCCGCTTGCTTGAATTTACATAAATTAGACCATACCTTTGCAACGCTTGGAGTAACAGTCCCCTGCTGCCTTCTCTCCCAAACCTGCTTCTCCTGTGTTCACCTTCACTGTAATCTACAGCTTTCATTTCAGCATTCCCGTGTCTGTAGTTCACAAAAAAAGGATGCTATTATGTTTCCTTTCTATTTAAGAACCATAAGTATTTCTCTATGTACATATTTTAGAATTTTGGCTCAATTCCAAAACAAGAAGTGTTTAAAGATTTTATTTTTCTTTTACTCTCACGTGTCCCTCCATGCGGGTGATGAACCTTCTTACAATAGGAAGTTAAAAGCTAGGCGTTATGAAGTGTATTTGTTAGCTGAGCTGGTGTGGTATTATAGTAATACGATTATTGCTTATTTTTAGTCCTGCTTGCGATATTGAAGTGCCAGAAAGACTGTCATCCTCCTATGAGCAGCTTAAATGTTACCATCTTGTGGAAAGGTGTGTCCACGTGCCTGTCAGAGAAGGAAGCGAGGAGGAGATCCTGTTGGTTCACAGGTCTGAAACTTACTTTCATCACTGTTCAGATTAATTCAATGAAATAACAGATCTCATACCTCCAGGTCATATTTTGCTCTGTTTGAAAAGGTCTGCTCCAAAACTCAGTCACTTCCAGTAATTTCAATGGAAAACGTGTCACACAAAGTTGGACAAATAACGTCGGGTATGGTGTAGGTGCTGAAGTACGAATCTGCTGTTCCAGTAAATCTCCATTGTGACTGTTTGGGTTCTCAAGCAAGGAATGCTGATTTATACGCAGGATTAAAAGTAAACTTCTAATAAAAATTGGGAAAAGACTTTTAAAAGTGTAGAAAAAAATGGGTGTTCTTTTAGAAAGATAATACCCTCCTCTTTCTCCTAAGCATATTTAAGCTAGAGTGAACCGAACAGAAAAACCTGCAGCTAATTGTGGGGAGAGAGTTCAGAGGAGCAGCAGCCTACCCGTTCTGAAGTGGTGGCAATGAAGTCTGCTCTGGCATTTGTCACCTTGGTGTGATGATTCTGCAACCAGCTGCAGATGATTCTGCATGTTGCTTGTGCGCTCATTTGCCCTTGTCAGGGAGCGGCAAGGGCAGCCTTCTCTGAAAGGCAAGGGGAGTCAGGAGCAGAGCGTGGTGACAAAGCAACCAGTGGCAGTGGCTTCCTGGACCCGGGGCACAGTGCCACAATATGCAAGCAAGGCGAGCAGCACAGGTCCGGTGATGGTAACTGGAGTCAGCCATGAGTTCAGATTGCCTGACGAGGCTGTAGTGACGTGGCAGGTCTGAGGTCAAGCTAAAGAGTCAGCCCACAGGTCAGGGTCTGGGTCCAGATCTGTGGGGTTCATGGCCAGACACAAGACACAGCTACACAACGCATCTGCAGCGTAGCCAAGGTTGAGAGCCTTATTTTAAAAGCAGGTGCCTATGGAATGAGGGGGAGCCTCTGCTGAGACTTCTTAGCAGAGCTGACTGCAGGGAACCTCTGCTGAGGCTCCTTCTAGCTCCTTCTTACAAGGTTATTCTATCTTCAAGCTGGTTCTGAACCCAGCAGCCAAACCCCAGGAGGAAAGGGTTGCACTCAGGGCCTTGACACCTGTGACGAGGACCATAGCTTGATCCCAAGTCATGCTTAAAATTTTCGGATTCCAGAACAGTATTTTTCCTCAGAACATAGTTGTTTGTTAGAATGCAATTATTGCTGTGTACCCATATAATTTATTTTCATAGTAAATGCTTTTTCTGATTGGGTCATGAAGAGACTTGATCACTGTTCCCAGCTGAGTTGCTCCTGCTAGATGACTTGGGGACAAACGGCTTCACTAAGTCTTGTCTTGGTTTCCATAGGTAAGCTGGAGATAATAGAGCTCTTCCCTTTCTAAAACACTTTTGCGCTGAAACAAATATGACTCCTATAAAAATGTTTTGTATGTGTTCACAGTTACGAGCCCGCTGATGAACTTAAGCTGGTAATTATATAGTCATTGAGGTTCATATGGTTTTATGCCTGTTAACACCTTCATTTTGAAGCCACTGTTTAGCTTTACTTCCATTAGGCAGCACTAGTGCATTTCATGTTGTTGTGAAACTCTGGTTGGTTTGGCATTGTCCACCTAGAGGAATGCATGTGGTCATTGTGTCCTCGATTAGGGCACAGGTGGGAGAGTAGATGCCACCAGCCTCCATTTCTGGCTCACTGCACAAGGGCAGGAGAGCAGTGACAGACAATGGGGGAAACATTGATTCTAGTGCCTTAGTGCTTATTGCACTCTTGAACTAGTGAAGAGGGAGTTAGTGCACACCTGATAAGGGATTAATTCAAATACTTGTTTTCCGTAGAACGAGACACACTAGGCACACATTCTCAGAGTTGTAATTCACACGCTGATGACTGTCAGAATCCTAATTTAGTTCTTGTTGAAATGGTGTCTGTATGTAGGATGGATTGCAAAACAGATTGTTGCATGATGCACAAAGAGCTTTTTTTTGAAAGCAAGACTAATTGCTCTTGCCACTGGAGAAGGGAGAATAATGTCATATTCTTAATGACAACCAAGAACCCTTGCTTTCGTAGCACTCCTTATTTTTGCACCATCTCCTGTAACTAGAGTTCCAGAGTACCTACTGGACTTGTGAAGTCTCACAGAAAGCCGCTTTTAACATATATTCTGTTACTTTTAATTACATTTTGCATTTAAAAAAACCCTTATAGGTCTATTTACTTTGTTAAGTGTTATCTTAATCTCTCTTTTCTCTGCAGTTCAGAATACTTGGAAGTGGCAAAAAGCACCCAGACAATGAACGAAGAGGAACTGAAAAGAATCTCTGGAAATTATGATGCTTTTTTCTTTCATCCGGTGTGTAAGTTAAACTGCATCCTCTATTGGGAGTTACAAGTATTTGTGTTTCTGCTTCTGAGTGGCACTTTTCTAAGTAGGGGAAAATTAGCAAAGCATTTATTACTATTGAAGTAGACTTACATATATCTATGACGTTATTGTTACCTGTTTCAAGTTTAGTGTAATGCTGTAATTTAAATTGGTTAAGCGTCCTGTCATCTATTCTGTAATTGCATCATACCACTATAGTGCATTTTAGCTCTGTTTTTGTCACTGTAGACCATTAGTGACCTGCAAATCACATTTCGGTAACAGTCACTCTTAAATGTTGTGCCAGGTAATGGAGGTGAAGTCTTTTTGTGTTTTGTTGCTGTAAAGTTTCATTCCTCATTCTCAAAGATGCCATGTTATTCCACCAGTCAGTTCAATATGTCCATCTCATGTTTCTTAACTGCTCCAGAGAGAACATCCTTATAAAGGATATGGCGATCACGGATAAACCTAGTAGAAAGCACATTGGAAATTGTGTTGTAAAATTCTGCTTTCAACTACCTGCATAGAAGCTCAGTAGGGTAGACTTATGTCAAGACAATTTGCTGCTGGGGTGCAAAAGCATGTCATGTGTGATTAGTTTAAAACAAGCTGATGAGTGAGTGATGGCAACTAAGAGATTCTCTTTTTCAGAACACTTACCGGTGTGCCAGACTAGCAGTAGGAGCAACTTTGCAGCTGGTGGATGCTGTGATGTCAGGAAAAGTGTGCAATGGAATGGCATTAGTAAGGTAAGAAAATACATGAGAAAGCCTTCATTTCTCCCCGAAATTTCCTTTGTTGTGAGTAACCGTGTAAAACTTCATTTTAGACCTCCAGGTCACCACAGCCAGAGAAATGCAGCTAATGGGTTTTGTTTGTTCAACAATGTTGCTATTGCAGCAGAATATGCAAAACTGAAATATGGTCTACAGAGGTAAGTTGACCCTAGAGAAGCTTATCATATGTAAGTATGGCATTTAGACAACTGTTTGACATTATACTATTTTAGACTAATGTCTAGAGCTTTATGGGTGTCGTGTCACTCTCAGGACAGAAAAACATTATTCATCTGTACCTCATTGTGATCAAGATGCTGTGATTTTTCTGCTGAATGTTTTCTTTTACTGATCTGTGCAGAATCCTAATTGTTGACTGGGATGTGCACCACGGGCAAGGAACTCAATATATATTTGAAGAGGATCCAAGGTTTGAAGGATATTTTATTTATTTATTATGTTAGCTGGTTAAATAGCACTTTCCTCTGTAATGAGTAAGATTTCTTAACTTTCTAAAACTAGTATCTTACAAAACACGAAACATTCTCCTTGCTATTTTAGTCACTATTGGTTTTACTTGTTACCAAATTGAGGGAAAATTCTAACAGAAAGAACTATGTAAATCTATTCTACTGTAAAGAATAACAAACAAAGTGAGCAATATGAGTGCCTTGGTTTGCCAGTAGTAACTCTGTGACAGTATGCAGGTAACTTCTCTATTCTCTCTATTCAGGGATCTCTCAGTTGAAGTATTCGAGTAGTAGTTGCATAAAACACATTGTTTTCTGAAAAGCCACAGAATTAGATTCTAGAAATGTCTGCTTTTCTGAAAATGCCTTGTCTTTGATGTGAAGGGATTGCACGCATACAATACATTTTTAGCAGTTGTCCTAGGTTAATTTTGGCATAGGACCTACTGTATCAAGTTTCGCAGTCCAAGTCTGTTAAGAGAACTAAGGGGAAAGGATGATTCTATTTTCATGCCTTTAGTCAATACCGCCACCAGGTTCAGGATACAAAGTCAGTTTCAGAATCTTTTCATCAAGTTGGATTTGTTTCTTGTAACTTGCAGTGTTTTGTATTTTTCCTGGCATCGCTATGAGCATCAGGAATTCTGGCCGTCACTCAAAGAATCTGATTATGATGCTGTGGGTCTGGGAAGAGGAAAAGGTTTTAACATAAATTTGCCTTGGAATAAGGTAAATGTTATTTACAGCACAACAAAGCAAATGCAATAGCTTTCTGTCTCATACTTCATGTAACGCTTTCTGAGAAGTACGCTGCTTCACTTGCATGGCAGATGCCTCAGCACACTGTACCTCCTTCCTGTCAGTGGAATGTCTGCTGAGAAATACGGCTCAGAATATGATAAAGTTTAAAAAAAAAAAAAAAACAGCGAGAAACACGCACATATTCTTTTTTTCTTCAATATCTTGCCTAGGCATCAAAACAGGAAGTGTTTCAGGAGATGATTGCATCCATACTCATTCAGCAGAGAAAAATGGTGGATGTTTATGCACTTTACTTAAATGGTGTTTTACTTGACCTCATAAGGTTCCCTTATCTTAAACTTTTAATGCTATCTTTAAAAATTTCCCTAAACTCTTGAAGAACCGTAAATATTTGTTATTCCAACAGGAAAACGTGACCTATATTTCTCACATTTTGCAGGTTGGGATGGGAAATTCAGATTATCTTGCTGCATTTTTCCATGTGTTGCTTCCAATGGCTTTTGAGGTAATTTTTTTACTGCTCTGCTGTTTGAATAGCAAAACCAAAGACTACTTCCTAAATACTTCTTAAGCAGGTACCATTGAATATTTTGTAGAAATGCAGTAATTGCCAGTTGCACAGTTAACACATTGTTTCTGCTGGTATGAATAATGTCCTGACCAACTGAATAATATTTATGGAATATTAGGGTGATCTTAGTTTTTATTCAAGGAGAGTCTTTGTTTTTGTTCATATTCTAGCTGAAAATACAGCTGAACATGGTACAGTTGAAAGCCAGTACAAAATTGAAAATAGGACATAAGAATGTGCTACAACTCTGTCTGTTTTATAACAGTTTGATCCTGAACTGGTTCTTGTCTCCTCTGGATACGATTCTGGAATTGGAGACCCTGAAGTAAGTAACTTGTTGTGGCCTTTGTATTGTCAGTTATGAACCTGCTTGCAAAATATTCCTACCTCTTAAATCTCCTGTGATTGCTAGGTGAAATTCACTTTGACTGAGCTAAAAATACATGTTTGAGTCTTTAAGCTGACCCCAGCTCATTAATGCTACAACAAGACATGTGAAGACAAATTATCCCATAGGTGTAATTACTGTGGTGGTTTTTGTACCTTCCTTTAAAGCAGCTGATTCAGCATTTTGTTAGATAGAATGAGAGGCAAGTGTTCCAGTATTACAACTTAAGACTCATCTATTTCAGATTGTTTGGGGTTTTTTTGCCAATGTTTTTGATTCAAGATTTTATCTCTTAAAATTTTTTTCTTTGATTTAGGGTCAGATGAATGCCACTCCTGAGGTTTTTGCCCACCTTACCCATTTCCTGATGCAGTTAGCTAATGGAAAGCTGTGTGTCATCCTAGAGGTAAAGACTTTGGAAACATACTCCCAGAGGAAGGGTCTTTGTATTAGAGCCATATAGGGCAAGCTAGAAGCTAGGAAGTAAAAATTCTTAACAAAATAATTTATTCTTTTTATCTTTCTTTTGGGAATCTGGAATGCAAAAATAGCTAAGATTTGACAAAGCTGTTATACATTAGAAGAAATGAGTGTCTTAAAAACTGATTTTTTTTTTTAACTTAAAATTTTGAAAGAGAAGAGCATATGCTCATTGTTCAAAAAAACGTATCCTGCACAGATATGTTCAGCTCTTGTGAGCAGTGGCTAGATTGCTGCTCTGGACAGTCCCCAACTCATTAAAATGTATTTAGTGAATAAGCTGCATTACCAATGTTTTTGCAAGTATGTCTTCCTCCAGGAGAGTTTAAAAAACCTTCAACCTAAATATACTCTTACTTAGTGATGGAGCCCTTTTCTGATTAAAAGCCTCTATGCAAGCTGGTTTTTTAAGAGCTTTTTTTAAAAAAAAATTAAAAATGTTTCCTCCTTTTGAAATCTATATTTCAACTCTCTCTTTGTCTGTTTTGCATGACCTTTCTTCCATCATCTTTCTCTCCAGCAGGTGGTTGTAGATATTTCTGTCTACCAGCTGAAGTGCAAATAAGCATCCCCTCCTAACACAGATGATGTGACTGCTCCACAGGTGGTATGCAGGAAGCAGTCTATCATCTGCACTCTAGCAGTCTTAAACCTATTTTCAGTTGTTCTCCGAATTCTGCCAAACCATTAGCACAGCCATATCTTACAAGTGTTGGGCTGTGGGAGATTTGCCTTGTACAGACATTTTAGAGGACAGTGATAGTATTTGCCTTCTAAGGAATCTTCCACAAGAATTGTTGAAGATGGCATATCATGGATAGGAATGGAGAAGGCGTATGTTTCCAGGGTTTTCCTGGGAAAGTCATGACTGATTTCTGAAATTAATCAAACCATGATAAAATGAATTGAATGAAGTAGCCTGTGAGTTACTGTTTCCATATTGAAAATCATTGACTTGGATGTACTTGCATATCATCTTCTGTTTCTGTAAATTCAGATATATTTCAAAAGTTTAATTTCTTTTCCATGTTGATATTCATATAGATGTTACAAGTACTTGTTCCTTTGGTGACACAAAATATGTTTTTCTAGGGTGGATACCACTTAAAGTCATTGTCTGAATCAGTCTGCATGACTGTAAAAACTTTACTTGGAGATCCTGTACCTCAAATAACTGGAGAAATGGCACCTTGCCTAAGGTAACCATATGAAGAATTTTAGAACAATCCATGTATTTATCAAAGAGACTAAAGACGTGTGCTTTGAACGTTTTGCTGAAGCAAGGTTTTAATGTGATGCTTTATAGTATATTATTTCTGCTTTGCATAACTTGGTTTCCAAAAAAGTCATCCAAGGTACAGTTTTGTATGCTTTTGTTTCTGAAACGATTTCAAGAACTTCTTAATGGCTTATAATTTTATGCTATTTGTCCTTGGGCCATGTTACCCTGTAGAGACCTATCTCACTCAAGGCTGAGACAATCCTGCTGTAATCAAGGCAATGCCAGTTAGTAACAGACAGTATTTGGGAAAGTATGTAATTGCAAGGATTAGTTCTTCAGACTCCAGAGCCACGTCAGTTGCTGTAGTACAGCAACAGCTGGAGCTAACCTTGCTGTCATCAGTTAGAGCTGGTGCTGTGCAGAGCCAGTCTTGATGACTCCTTGTGTTTCTGGAATTCAGAGCATCGAGGCCTGGGGTGCAAAAGCACTCCACTGTGTGGGGCTGTACTAAGATAATTAAACTTTGTGTCTAACTTCTTTTTGGAGACAGTAATATTGGGTTTGCACAGTGGTGAATCTGACCTAGTAAAGCGTTCTGAACCTTGGGCCTGAATCAGTTCCACATCTAGACAACGTCTTTCTCTCTACCTGTCTGTACCATCTCCTCCACGTCTCCATGTTCCCTCCTCAGTCTCTCTCCCACCTCAGTGGTTGTCCTGTGCCTTTTTCAGCAGTAATGCTCCTCATGCGTTTTTGTGGGTAGAAGGCAGCACCTACCAGTTGGCTGTGTTAGCTAAAACTCAGAGCTCAGATCAGTCACGGAAGCAGCGTAGATATAACCAGGCTGTGGGCAGAGTTGGATTTGGTAAACTGTGATGGAGCAAAGCTGGTTATCTTGCTCCCAGTACATCCTGTAGCCCCTGTATCACCTCTTTTTCTTCTCTACCAACTGTAGTATCTCAGGTTGCTATTGTCCTAGGTAATAGAGAGTTGACTACATATTTATTCATTATATCAGTCCAGCTCCTGAACACCTTACAAATAATCTCCAAGTACACATAATTTGTCTTAGATTTAACATGACCTGAATTATGTTTGTATGATAGCTAACATAATAGGCCCATTTGCCTATAGTGCTGCAAATACCACTGATAATAAAAAAGACATTTCAACACAAAGAATAGCAGGGAATGTGATTTACTTGCTTCCTGAACTGATAGTCTTGCTTTTGAGTGAATCTAATTACATCTTTACATTCTGTAGATAGAGCAAAGACAGACTTCCCTGAAGTCAGGGACAGGTATGCTTCCTCCAGCAGCAGGATTGGGATTTCACTCAATGTGTGTAAGCGTGTGTACATACTGCAGGTGTTCTTCGCTTTTCTTTGACTCTTCAATCTAATCTTTCCAAGCAGTCTGCCCATTGACTTTCATTCTCTCTATCTTTCTGTTCTGCATTCTTGGAATAGACCAGAGCTTGTTCATTTTCAGTTGGATTTTTTTGTTTTGCTTTTTCACTGAGGTAAATTTTATGTTTCCTGTATTTTCATTAGGGCTGATACTGTTACTCCTGTTTCTTTTGTAGTGCTGTTGAATCTATTCAAAATGTGAGAGCAGCACATAAACCCTACTGGAAATGGTTGATGTATGAAGGTAATTTCTCTTTCTTCAAGCAAATGGGATCGGTAAATGGATTTATACAGAAATTCAAAATGATTAAGATTAATACCAGCAGATTAAAATAATTCAACTGCCAATTATTTGTCAAGTACTCAGGAAGCACTTTAAGGCTTCATTCAAGGCCATGTCTTCAGCTGGTCTGAAAAGAACTTCTGAAGCTGGCAAACATCGCACCAAAACGTATCGCTTTGGTATCTTTGTGAGAGGATGCTGTTTTCTGTGTCAAAAATATGTGCATAAGATTTATTACAATTTATGAGTTTGCGCTAGATTAAAACAAATGTAGCAACACTGAAAAATAACATCTGTGGCAGGAAACATTGTAGCTAGTGCATGGAAATAAAGATGCATACTATGAATAGAGAGGTACTCTGGTTTGTAAATAAATGTAACCAAATATTAGCACACTGCTCAGGAATTAACACATGTGAAACCCCTCTTTTGTTTTTTTTCCCTAGACACATCATTTTTACAAAATCTGAGCACCAAATCACACCTACTACAGAAGGCCTCCACAGAACAGGAATCTAAGATGACTAACAACAATGAAGCTATCGAAGTAGAAAGGTTTTTGGAACGGCACATGAAAAATATTCTGTTTCCAGTGCCTCCCATCAAAACAGCAACAACAACTGACGCTAAAAGTTCAGCACATTTGTTCCCTGTACCTGTTCAGTTGGTGAAGGAAATGGACAAAACTGAAATAAAAGCTCTTGTCAGGTTGGTCCTATCTGTTTGATTTTCAAGGTAATTATGAGGATGAGAGGTCTCTGTTCAGACTGTCATCCAGCTCTGTCTCTACCATGGTCATCTTTTTGGCCTTAGTCTACTCAAGTATAGCCAGAGTTTCTTTGTTTGAAAAATGAAGACATGTGTGTTGGTTATCACTTGTAGCCTTGAAGTCCTTCAAAGAACTAATCAGAATACTTTGAGAGAAAACTATTTCAATGGAGATAGAACAGTTAGTGCAAATGTATTCATTTAGAAAGAGATTTTGCTAGGAAGATGCCTTAAAGCTCTGTGTTCACTCTTAGCTGAAAAAAATACCAAACTGCTCTGATTTGAGAAGCTCAACTTTTTGTCTTAGAAAGCCTAATTTTTACAGAACTGTATTTCCTGAATAACACCAGACATTTTTGTTTTCTTTCCAGAGCAGAATGGAGACAGGTTTATAGAGCTCAAGACCGTCAGGCAACAGTGTTGTCATCTTCCTGCTAGAGTTAGATTTTTGGGAATGAATGTAGCACCTATACAAAACGTATCTCATCAATACTAACTATGAAGTACCATATCAGTGTCCTCTTCAAAAGCATTATTGCCTCTAACCTAGTTTTAATTCATATGATTTATTTTACAGTGGCTTTTACGCAGACCTTGTGAAAGAGGACAAAACTTTGCTCTCTCTTGGCAGTATGTTGGCCATTCTAGATAAAATACTTAAGAAGGAGGTAATAATCAACTGCTTTGATCTTGGGGGGGAGGGTGGGGAAGCGCTGGATTCCTCTGATTTCTGCTTATACTATATTGTCATCCAGGTATTAGTTACTGTGTAGATCACGACCCCACTAATCTCAGCTACAGTGTGCTTAGCTACAAGAGTGAGTATACAAGATGAGAAAACAACTATTTAGGGATAGCTGTTAAGCCCAGACATCTTTCTAATGATCTTTGGACAAGACATTGTCCTGCTTCTCTGCAGTCACAGCATATGAGTCAGTAACAACCTTCTCATCACTCTCTGACATACAGGTGAGCCAGGCATTCACTCTTCCGGTTAAGGGGAGCAGAAGGTGGTCATCAAGCACCAGTGAGCAGTAGCAAATCTGAGCAAGAAATGTCAAAAATTTTCCTGTCTCAGTGCGCAGAGTTCTGCCTTTAGGACAGAGTTTACTTCTGCATTACCCTTCGTTACAAGATGCTATGCTATGTGCAGCTGCACCCACTTACCATTATTTGTACAACAATTTACTCAGAGTAAATTTTCATTTATACACACACACACACGCAGACATACTGCTTTAGTGGAGCTCTTGAAAACACCACTGTATGCTGTGATTCTGAACAGAGTAATTCCACTTCAGCATTTTGATTCTTGCAGGGTCAGGAATGAAGAGAAGGCAGGCTTAGAGGGTGCATGTTTGTATGTATGTGTAAAAACTTGGAGAAGCAAAGGGAAAAACTGAAAACAAGAAAACAAAAGATTATCACATCATAATAAATTGGTGTCTTCCTCTGTCTTACCAGGCCTGCAAGGAAGAGTAGCTGCCAGAATGGCCTCTTTCTTGTAAGCCATCTTCTTGCTGTTGGAAGTCATGTATGTAGACCTCAGGGACAAATTTCCAATGTTACAGACTGCACATACCTCTAGGAGAGCCTATAAACAGATTAAAAAAACCCCAGCTAACTGGCAAAAAGATATAAAACTTTCCATGAGTTGCAGATGCTAAGCTGAGGTTTTTGTGTTGACAGAAAGAGGAGGCGTGAGGAGGGGGAGCATGCATTACCTTCCTGCTTAGCTTTCAGGTAGCATTCAAAGCACCACACAACACAAATGAACACTGAAAGGTTGACTGAGTAATACTGTTATAGTATTTTCCAGAAAGGAATAGCTTGCCTAGGTTAAAGGAAGAGTCAGAATTAGAATTCAGGGGCAAGCTCCTTTTCATAGGGTATGTATTTCTGGTGCAGTTTGCCTGCTGGCACACTGAATGTATCCAATCTGCGGACTATCGAGAGAACCAGTAAAGATGACCTCCCCCTGCAAAAGCTGTTTTTACAGTTGCCTTTCAGCATAGCACCATACTTTTGATGTAATAGAACAGCTCTTGGCATAATGATCAAATACGGATTTTCTGTAGAAAAGTAATTAATAATATTTTCTTAACCCTGCTATGATAGATCATTAAAATCCCTTTTCATGCTGCTGTAGCTTTGTTTGAATGATACATGTAAAGAAGTAAAAATACAGTTGTTAAAAACGTAAAATGACATGATCTTGTGCAGCATTAATTACTTCTGAATGACAAATGTTTTGTAGGTATGCAATGGAATTGCAGGATCGCCCACAGCTGCTGTTTCTGTTGCTGTTGCACTAAGACATACTGTTCGTTTTGGATTTGAAAGGTGAATTTGTATCTTTTGCATCTGGGACAAAATGTAAAAATAAAAGTGTGTGAAATATGGCAAATTGCCTTTGAAACCTTAATTTCAAAACAAGTAGCATCTCCATACGCATAGCATTTTCAATATGTAGTACAGACAATATTGTATATGCCAGCAAAAGCCTTTTGCCTTACCAAAAGAAAAACATTGGTAAGGATGACTGCTGTGCTAGCCTACGTTTTCTCTGTCAGATTTCAATTGTCTTTGGCTTAGGGACATTTTCTTGGGTGGTTTTTTTTTTTTTCTGCCCAGTATTTGGTGGGAGAAAAGGAGTTCCCTTGGCCTGTCATAAATGTGTTTTCTTTATACTTCTAGCAGACCAAATTCAGAAACAATATGCATTCTGGTTTTATGCATCTAATCTACATGTAAACTCTTTAAACAAATTGCACTAATTGAAAAAAAATTACTTGTAGATGTAAATGTATATATATTTTTCTTTGTTTTCTGCAGAGTGCTTTGTATATTTGTTGGAGACATGCAGAACATACAGAACACAGAAGATGGGTGAGGTTTCTCTTTATGTCAGGGAGTCAAATCCCAAAGGCTTTATAAATGTTCACAAATGTCCATATGTATGATGAAATCCGCACTAAGCAATCAGTCATGAGCTGATGTTCATTAAGTTTAGCTTGAGACAAAATACAAAACATCCCCAAATACATCTCTAAAGACAAACTGCTATCTCTAAATGCTGCCTTACGAGTTTAGTGGTAGGTTTAAAGTGTAATCCTTCTATATTAATTGAAATTTAGATTGTTATTGAAAGTAGAATATTGCAAATAGAATATTGAAAATACAAAGTAATAAAGAAAGCAATTATTAATTATAATGGGTGTACCCCCTTATAACTGCAGGGAGCACACACTGCTGATGCTGAGTTCTGTATTGAAAGTCATCTTACTTATCTGTAACTTTTTTTTGCCATTTTTTTTCCCTTTTTCTTAAAAGCAATTTGCCCATAGTCTTTAATATACTTTTTACAAATACCTTAAAAAGGATTTCAGTTTTAATTGGTATTTACCTTATGGCATGTAGTAATGCAAACAGTTATTTGCTCCCGTATTATGATTTAGTATTTAAAGAATGATGAAAGAAAAGATCTTTTTATCTCATTGGAAGTTGTGGTTAAATACTCAGGTGTAGTTTTTATTTACAGAAAAATACTCGTGATACATATTTGTGAGAAAGAACAGTCTGGAAAGACGAGCTCCAAACACTACATTTCTCTAAGCTGGAAAGAGGTAAGATTCACTTTCTGGAAACAAGAGAAAAACTTGTTTAGCAGAAATAATGGAATATATTTATAAAGTCATAAAATGACACCAAGAATTACACCCCTCACCGCAGTTTGGACCTTTGAACATATTGCCTTTGCTTGCCCTTGCCAGGGTACTACTCCTTCACGGATGTTTAGAGTGTATAGGATGCATGCGCTTGAGGAAACCTTCGGTAGCTACTGTAGTTCATCTTCAAGAAGGCAGAGTTGCAGCATGAAGACACTAAGGAAGAGATGAAAAATCTGCACGTTTAATATAAAAATTGCTGTGAAAATAGATCAGTATCTTGTTTTCTAGGTCAATCAATAGCTTTTTGAGATCACCTTACTGTTTTGTTTTCTGTATGGGCATTTGGGGCTTTACATTTGGCTAAACAGTTTCTCATTGTTGTTCAAGGATGCTGAAGGAAATGACTTCTTTTCGGCTGTACTTGGATTCATTCTTCCTGTAGCATATAGTTACCAACCTAACTTGACAGTAATAGCTGTTGGACCAAACAGGAGCCTTGGAATAAGTGGAATTTCTCTGCTTTTTGCTTTACTACAAGGATTAGCCGATTCTCGAATTTTTGCAGTGATTGAGGTAAGAAGCAGTGCTAGTACTTCAAAGTGCCTAGGACAGAACTCAAATCAAGCAGCAGCATGCTTGGTATGAACTGCTTCAAGCTGCCTAGCAGAAAATGTTGGCTGTATCTGTACTGCCTTTGGTACCCCTGAGTTCATGATGCAAATGGCCTAAGTTTCTCTCCAGCCTGAGAACAAGACCAGACACAGATGCATACCGAGCTCTAGGCAGCCTGCACCATGGAGAAGCTGAGGCGTGAATGCAAGCCCATGGTTAAGTCTATAGACAGTATATGTTCTGACAGTTTGCCGTGGTTTGGGGATTAACTTCCCTTTCCACCTGGGATTCACAGCTCAGAGTCACCTCCTGAAAAGAGAGTCTGTTAATTATATGGCCTCTTTCCATCCAAAGTGATTGAAAGCAACCCATTGTCCTGTTTATCATAAAACACTAAATTTCCTCTCCTTCTCGCCCCCATGTGGTACTTCATCACACACGACTTCCATCATGCAGAAAATAAATCAAACTGGCACATATCCTTTAAGTGAACTTAATTGCCATAATACGCAACTTGAGAGGCAATCTACCCCAGCTTTGTGTTTCTGATAGAGAGCAGGGGAAAGGAAATAAAGAATATATCCACGTTAAGGTTTTGTAAATGTAGGAAGTCAGAGGCTGTATCCAGACCAGTGGATAAGTGCCAGCGAGGGTATCTTCCATGAATTGATCTAACCTGTTAAAGAATGCAGTTTACGCTCTTGGCATCTGCAGCATCTTGTGGCTACAGGTAACACAATTTCTATCTGTGTCCTGTGAAACAGTAACTTCAGATCGCTTTTGTGCCTTCTAGTTGTTCTTTAATGAGAAACGATAATTGTTCATGTATGCAATTTTATTCTAATCTCTTTCCCAGCAAGCACCCGATTAAAAACATACTATTCATTAAGCTGCCAGTTAAGTGGATTTTGACATACTTCATTCTGTATTTACAGTGCTGATAGGTAAATTGTCTAATACAGCTTGTACATTGCTATACAGTATACAGAAATAGTGTATTTGTACATTACTAATTAAGAGTACAAAATGGAAAAAATTATTGATCTTCTGAAGGGTAAACTCGGAGGTAAAGAGGAAGTTAGACACACACCTTGAAGAAATGACTGAGACTTTTCTATTGGTATTCTGCAGGTAGCTCCGTAACAGGATTATCTAATGTGCAGGGATTTTCTGAGGCATGGGTTTGTTTTTTTAGAATAATTGAAAAAAGACTTCTATCTTTTAAAAATAAAATAGAGTAAGACTCTTCAAGATAAATGCTAATAATCCTTATATACTATGGACACCCCAGAATATAATTTCTGTGAGCAAATGACATTGATTTACACTGTTTCTTTTCAATCACGAAAGGAAAACTGAGTTTCTTTATTTGAAAAAACAAGTTTTCCAGGAGATAAAAATTAATTTAACTTTTTCACAAAAAACTCCATTTTGACACATTTTTATTTGAAAAATGAAAGTTGCTCATTCTTGCTACTAGTATTAGCAACTTAATTACAAAAGCTTGTTTTAAAATATTCCATGTATTACTGAAACGAAGAAAGTTTGGTTCCCAGGAATATTTTTTTTTCTTCTTAAATAGGACACAGACGTAAATTTAATGCAAAGTGTAGCCAAAACATTAGTGGGTGCTTCTACACCTCACTTTGGAGTTTATGTACCTCCCACCGAAGAAAAAGTAAATAAAATAAAAACATTAAGATACCAGTTTC